CCTCAGCTGCAGATTCCCACTATCACATTTCAACTTCCTATTATTCTCAATTGCTTCAACACTTAGTGCAACATGAAGATCCGGCTTCATACAACTTGTGCGTTCATCATGTAAGAGGACCTTCTTTAACTCAATAGCCTCAGGCATAATAAACTTCAATTGAGCCAAATGGCTATATATAAACCTCCTGAAAATTTAACCAAACTATAAATTAACGAAATATCAGTAGCAAAAAATCCTTTTTTAGATCCCAACTGTAAAAAAAATAAATTATTATACCTTTAAATTTTTAGATCCCAACTATTTTACAATACAATGTTACAATAGGGAGCTGTAAAATAGTTGCAGCCTACTAGAATGTGGTAGCTGTGACAATTCAAAAGAAGGCTCATTGATCAGTCAATCCAAGAAGCACCTGATCAAATGAATGAATATGGCAGCTACTTGGAATCATTCTCAGCAGTCTTCATGATTTTTCAAGAATGATTACTCAACTATTTACACTACTTTTTCCATATGAAATTTACATGTTGGATGACTGTGTCTAACAAAAGTTCTTGATAGCTAAATATTCTACATGTTGATGAGTACTTCTTCTCAAGACCCTCAAGTTCTCTGGAAATGGTTTTAGAAAAATCAGATACAGAATTAGTGCCAGCCACATACGGTACAATTGCACCCTTTTCTGCATCAAAATCTGTACAATGGCACTCATCATTATTGGGCAGATTAATATGTTTTGGGTCAGGACAAATAGCCTTGACAGATTGACGGCCTGGTAATTTCAACATCCTTTGCGTTGCAGACGACTTCTTAGAAATATGTCCAGATTGCCTGCTCTTTTCCCAGTTTTGGGCATGTCTTAGAAACTCAGATTGTATGTATGTCCAGATTCTTTGAGTAATTACTAAAAGATTACCTAAATTTTTTGTCTGAAGCACATGAAAGTCAGAAAATCAATATCCAACAAAAAAGGATCAATTTGGCCAGATTCTGTTTTCAAACAAGGAGTGATGTAGATGTGCTTGATGATGGTTACAAATGGAGAAAATATGGCCAGAAGGTAGTCAAGAACAGCCTTCATCCAAGGTATTTCTTACCCCCCTAAACTTTATTAGGTAATCCAATGGACTATGCCATTCGGAAATATGATCAAACACTAAATGCACGCCATCCAGTTCACACAACGACCATTTCAGAAATAAAAAATTAAGATGAAGCAATCACCACAAATCACCATTTCAAACCACCATCGTGAATCCTATAGCTACTAGGGACGTCAAAGCTTAAAGCTACCGGAATTTCGATGATACTTTGTAATACTACACCAGGTAAGGTTCAAATTTGTCTGGAGCACATGAAATTCAGAAAATCGATATCCAACAAAAAAGGATCAATTTGATGAAAAGATAAACACATAAATAACGAATCTCATAAGTCCAAATCAGAGATAAAGATTACAGCCTACCTTACACAATGGAGAAGCAGTTCCTAAACGAGAGAGATGGATAACGAGAGCCAGGAGGCGGGACGCCCAATTAACGCGGACGGCCGGGGAAACTGGAAGGCGATTTCAACGGTGGTCTCTAGAATCTCCACTCTGCCTCACCTTAGGTCTCGAAGCAACTGTGTTCGCATTAACGTTAACCGGGCAAATAATGAAAAGGGAAATAAAAGTGGACAGGGCCATTTTTTACGGCGTGCAAATAATCTAGGTAGGTTTTTTACGGCGTGCATGTGCATGTCGTAAATAATCTAGTTTCAAGAAAAAACGGCATGTCTTACATGCACGCCGTAAATTGTCCAATTTTACGGCGTGCAAAAATTGTACGTCGTAAAATAATTTATGCAATTGATCATTTACGGCACACATTTCTTGCACGCCGTAAAAAGTCTATTTTTATGGCACGCGTTAATTGCACGCTGTAAACATATGCCGTAAAAAGCTATTTTTGTTGTAGTGAGTATTGTAGAGAGGGACGATCAATATTGAGGTTTGGATGATTTTCTTTAGTCTATTTATACTCTCGGCTGATTGTTGATATGGGTTTTCTTTTTTACTTTCTGTTAGAGGATGTTCCAAAATAGTTCTCCCTGTATCAATTGAAATAACTCTTCCGAGTCATCTTCCCCTTTCTTCCTACACATGGCCCCTCAGAAATCTCGGGATTCAGATTCTGGGAGCTCAGATCTTGGGGGTTATCCTAATGATATTCCGTCTTCGGATGACGACATACCCATTGGTCCTTTTACCCGAGGCCATTATCGAACCCCCAACATTCACAGTTCCTATTGATCCTAGCATGTATACGGAGGCCACTTTGAAAGAAGTGGTTAATAGATTTAACTTAGGTCAAAATTTCTTGTACAGTGTTCCCAAATCCTCGGACATTCCATCAAGCTGTTATTTAGGAGAGATAGCTGTGTTTAAAGATGATTTAGATGGGGGACTAAGGTTTCCTCTCCACACCTTCCTGAAATCTCTCCTGGTCGAACATAATCTTACCTCGGGTCAGATAGTTCCGAATGGGTGGCGAATGTTGGTGTACTTTTTGCTGGTTTGTCTGAAGAATGATATTTCACCCTCTGTAAAGTTATGTAGGCTAGTCTTTGAGATGAGGTATCTGGTGGGATTTAAGCGTTTTGTATATTTAACATGTAAAGAAAACTTCAATGTTCCCATATGTCCGAGCTCAAATAAGGTTTTTCTATATCCATCCTAAGGTAGGTGAGTTCTCATTCCCCAACAAATGGGGTTACCCAGATGTGTCCAAATTCAACCTGTCGGTGACACGTACTGGTCCTTTAAAGCAAGAGCTTGATAGGCTCCTCAGGCTTGCAGCACTTGGGGGAAAGATGTCTCTGGTGTTAACTGATGAGACCCTCATGTCCGTCGGGCTTGGGCATCATGAGCATGTTGAGGGTAGATCTCGATGCCTATATTTTTATTTTCTTAAATATGTCACGAGTATTTTGACTTAATCCATTGTGCAGGCATGGATTTTGATGCCTCATATGTATTCAAGATGGCTAGACAAAAGTCTATGGCACCTGGTGCTTCCTTCCCTTCAGGGAGAAAGAGGACAACGGTTAGCTCGCCCACTCGGGACATGCCTACTCAAAATCCATCAACTTCACCCCAATCAGCTTATCATCTGTCATCGGTAGACCGAGTTGTTGGTTGTGTTGATATTGAATTAAAGAAGAGCTTAGAACAGAAGTCTCTGGAAGAGAGTCGTCGAGGACTCTTGATGGAGATATCTCGGGTAAGTTCCCTCCTTGCCTACTTTGTC